AGATCGAGGCGTCCGCATTGTTTCTGAAGGTAGTATGGAGCATTTCGCTCTGCACGAGAAGACGGGACATTTAGTGACAGCGGCGAGGATCGACAGAGAGCAGCTCTGCGAGGAAGTGCAGCACTGCGTGCTGCGATGTGCGCTGATAGTGGAGGGACAGATGCAGGTTTACGGGATCCAAGTGGAAATCACGGACATTAATGACAACGCGCCCAGCTTTCGACAGGCAGAAAAAGAACTGAGAATGAGCGAGATGACAGCGCCAGGCTCGAGATTTCCCCTCTCCGAGGCTCATGACCCGGACTCGGGCCGGAATTCTCTGCAGAGCTACGAGCTGAGCGGCGACGAGCACTTCTCGCTGGCCGTGCAGACGGGCCCCGGCGGCGATCAGCGTCCCGAGCTGGTGCTGGCCAAGGCGCTGGACCGGGAGGAGGCGGCGTTTCACGAGCTGGTGCTGAGGGCGAGCGACGGCGGCGATCCGGCACGGACGGGCACGGCTCGGATCCGCGTGACGGTGCTGGACGCGAACGACAACGCGCCCGTGTTCAGCCAGGCCGAGTACACGGTGCGTGTGCCCGAGGACGTGCCCGTGGGCTCTGTCCTCGTCACTGTCACGGCCACGGACGCCGACGAGGGGTTGTATGGACAGGTGAAATATTCGATTCAGAAAATCACAGAGAAAGCCTCCCAGACATTCCAGCTGGACGACAACACGGGAGCGATCACCCTGTTACAGGGCCTGGACTTTGAGGATGGTGCTTCCTATGAACTAGAGGTGCAGGCACACGATGGGGGAGCTCTTTTTGACACGACAAAAGTCGTGGTCTGTGTGACAGATGTTAACGACAATGTGCCAGATATTTCGATGCGGTCGGCACTGAGCGAAATTTCAGAAGATGCGCCGTCGGGAACAGTCGTGGCCCTTTTGCATGTGCAGGACCGGGACTCGGGGGCTAACGGCGAGGTGCGCTGCTCGCTCGACGAGGGTATCCCGTTTAGACTGGAGAAATCTTTTGAGGACTACTACCGTGTGGTGAC